ATCTAAGACATACATGTTATAATGCACAGAACTGTCAAAACATGACAATGTTGTAACTCTTCTGTTTGTGTTAGAGAAAGTGAGGATATTGTAAACTAAGTTCCAATATCTGAAGAATGATTTGACTAAGCTTAATGGGCATCTATGAGGATAGAGATAAGACCTCAGACTAAAAACGTTGGACTTGATCTGAGCATTTATTATAGGAACTTTGTCTGAGTGGTATAGGTTTCAAGTGTGTTCTAGGATATGAGGGAATCTAATGTGAAGAAAACTCTTTTAAATAACATCCTGTGACCTTTGCCCTGAACATTAGGCCTTCACTCAAATTTTAGGTTATGTGTTTATGTGACTGATGTGTGAGAGCTGAAAGATGAGTCAATACTGTAACCATGAACAGAAACACAGAAATACATGGTGGGCTCAGTAAGAAGCAGGAAGAGAAAGAAAAGTGATCAAGAATTTTGGTTTTGTCTAAATAAGACATGACGAGTGTTAATCAGAAAAGGAGAAAATTTGTTTTTGAAAAATTGGTTCCCAATATGGTTTTTCTTATATTCAACTTTTCTGTTGGCTGGAAGTAAACATTTCTCAAGGATGTGATAACAACCAAAAGATTTGTAGGATTGTTTATTGAGCTGTCCGTAATTTTTCTTATAGTTCTGCAGGAAGCCGATAATGAATTGAAGCTTTGCCCTCCTGATCATTTCCAACAAATGAAGAGAAAAAAGGCAAATCAGGTGATATGCTTAAGAAGAGGGAGACATACAATTGCCCACTCAAATGGGACACTGGGGACTTACCGGAAATTTTTACTTCTTGTCATAAATGCCTTAAGATCAGGCCAAAGTTCATAAAATGCTATCTAATAGTTTTCCTTACATTAGATTCCTCCACAGTCTGGAACACTTTGAACTCTATACATTCTAGCCAAGTTCCTAAAATAAACATCCAGTCCATATTTTTAGTCTGGAATCTCTTTCCTCATCAGAATATATTTTTATTTCCATAGCTTTCCAGAAGACCACCCAAAATTATAAGAACCTGTTTAAAATGTGGGACAGCGGTGGGGGGGTGGGGGTAGTCCATGGGTAGTGCAACTGTTAATTAAAGGGTTCAAGGTTCATATTCACTCAGGCTACCTTGGAAGAAAGGGCAGGTGATCTACTTCCAAAACAGTCAGCCACTGACGACCTTATGGAGCACAGTTCTACTGTGACACACATGTGATTGTCATGAATTGGAGTAAATAAAAAGACAGTGGTGGTTTTCTGGTTTTGTATGGACTTTGAGGACACAAGAGAGGACGCAAATAGCTTTGTGTTTGTTATATACAGATATATTCAGTGATGGAAAAGGAAGGCCGGACACGCCTTGCCCTTATCATCTGCAACAAAGAATTTGACCATCTTACTACTCGAGCTGGGGCAGAAATTGACATTATGTCAATGCAATACCTGCTGGAAAATCTTGGATATTTAGTGGTTGTTAAACAGAATCTCACAGCTCAGGTAAGGCCCACCAAGATCAGAACAAACCTGCTTCCCTCTTAAACAGTTTGAATCTGTCTCTGGAAGTTGCAAAAACAAAATGTATGCTGTTACAGGAATTGTGTTTTCTCTAAGTTAGGGCTCCCAGGATTTCAGCCTCCTCCCATGCATAGTCTTATAGCAGAGATTTAGAGCTTCTTTCTACAGCAGTATTTCACTAAACAGCTAAAAAATGTTGGCTCCTTCTGAAGCCCTCCATCTGGGCTGAGTCAGATACAAGCTCTGGGACCTCAAATTGCCAGCTACCTATATAATAAGTTCATGAGATTCTTGTAATTTCAATATCTTGTATTAAATGTAAGTTTAAGAACATAATAGGCAAAATTTGCATAAATACATACAAAAAAAAATTGTCATTTTGACTGCCAAATGTACCTTGGGTGGCTTTAGAAAATCATGTGGACCTCCCTTTGCGAAGTTTCATGATAAAGGAATTTAATGCGTGATTCTAATTTTTCAGATTGTTCTCTCTGCTTCTTGCTCTTTCACTCCCAGTCATGAATAAAAGCTTAACAGGAGTCCCAAGGTGTAAAACTGATGAACAAAGCTATTTGAGACTTATCATTTCCCTTCCTTGCACATATTATTCTACATTCCCCACCTGTAGAAATTTAACATTCTAATGAAAACCATTAAATTAGATGCCCTGTGAAAACTCTTCTGTCTTTACTCTAAACATCTAAATTTGGGGGTTTATGTCAGAATATTATTTTTTTTCACAATTGTACCCACTTTGTATCACCTATTTGTCAGTGTTTGCTTCTTTCTATGAATGCCATATGCCTTTTGAGCATAAACTTTTCATGGAGTGTTCCTCAATAGCAATTGTGGAGTCTCTTTCAGGAAATGGAAATAGAGCTAAAGCAGTTTGCTGCCCGCCCAGAGCACAAGTCCTCAGACAGCACATTTCTGGTATTTATGTCCCATGGCATCTTGGATGGAATCTGTGGAAAGAGCTACAGTTCACAACAGCGAGATATTCTGAAAGATGATACTATCTTTCAAATATTCAACAACAGGAATTGCCAGAACCTGAAAGATAAACCTAAAGTTATCATCATGCAAGCCTGCAGAGGTGGTAAGACTGATTTGGGGAACCCTGAGGAGAGAAGGAGTGACCATGCACTCTTATTTTCTAGCCTGGGTGTTTATCCTTCACTCATCAGGGATGGGTGATGGATTTGGAGAGAACTAACCTTTTAGTTTTTTTTTTACAGTGAGAGACTAACCTTCATGGGACTGCCTTGTTATTCCAGGTCTTGCAATATTTCTTCCTTTGACAGCATATAGTCTTACCATTTTTTAAATGTCTGGTTTTTGTAGAAAATGAGGATTCTTTCACATACATGTTTCCACCTTCTTTGCACAGGTTCTGACTTTCCCAGGTTTTACTGTATTAAATCCAGTCAATAAAGAAATTATATTTAGTCTATACCATTTTTAAAGAAACAAAGTTGTCAAAATGACAAACTTAAGTTAATTCTGTTCTGTTCACAGTCAGTGAGGGAGCTTTTTGAGCAGTACCAGTTGTTGTTGAGTTCATTCTAACCATGGTGACACCCTATGTATCGAAATAGAACTGTGCTCCACAGAGTTTTCAATCACTAACTTATCAGCACTGAATTGTGAACCATAAATCGGACAGTTCAAACCCACCAGCTGCTCTCTGAAAAGCCTATACAGGGTTGCTATTATTTGGAACCAACTCAATGATATTAAACAATGACAGCTTATCAGAAGTAGATCACCAGGTCTTTCTTCAGATGTCCCTAAGGGTGATCTAGAACTCCTAACCTTCCAGTTTGCAGTCAAGGTTAATTAAGTGTTTGCAGTACTCAGGGACTCCTTTTATGGCAAGAACATGATTCTATTTTTTAATAAACACTGTGTTGAAACATGCAGAAGTTAAGATATAATGACAAAAGAGATAGTATGTACATGTAAATATAACATCTTTCATAAGAAATGTAAACCATGGTTGGTGGATGGATGTCTCCCTCAGAAGGTACTGGATTTGTTTGGATGGCTGACATGGGAGCAGATTCTGCAAGTAGTTTACAGACCACTCAACATCCCATCCAGAGTGATGCAATAACAAAGACCCATGTGGAAAAGGACTTTATTGCTTTCAAAGCATCAACCCCACGTAAGTAACTTCATGGAGTGGATTTATAAATGTATTATTATTTTATAGATAACAGCCTTGACTATGATCAAATCTTAGTCACTAATGAAAAAATTTCTTCTCATCTCTAAGTATTGGTTAAGCAGATGAGAGATTTAAGATACCGAGACTTTTATAGTTAGGATTCTATGAATTTTGATTTAGAGGGACATTTTCAAATTGAGAAGATTTTGGTGAGGATCCAAATTTAAAACACTCTCTGGTAGTGTAGTGGTTACAAATCGGGCTATGAACCGCAAGGTCAGCAGTTTGAAACTACCAGCTGTTCTGCGGGAGAAAGATGAGGCGTTCTGCTCCTGTAAAGATTTACAGCCTCAGAAACCCTGTACAGGGTCACTATGAGTCGGAACCAACTCCACGGCACACAGCCACAGCCAAAGACTCACTTGAAGGCCTTGTTAAAATTCAGATTCTGATTCAGAAAGTTAGGGGTGAGATCTGAGATTCAGCCTTCTAAAACATTTCCAGTCACACTTGAGTAAAGAGGAACTAGAGAATCATCAGAGTGTAACTCAGGAAAGAAAGCCAAACCCACTGCCATCGAATCGATTCTGAGTCATAATGACCCTGAAGGACAGACAGCACTGCTCTGCAGAATTTCTGAAAGACATACTTGTCTTTGTCCTGCCACAATAGTATGGCAGGCAGAGAGACCATATATGACTTCCTCTGGATTGACAAGGGGGAAGCAGAATTAAACTCTAAGTCAATCCAAAGCCAATTTTTGTCAGACATGCTTCTACCCTTCAACCTTCTTCTCCCTATCCTGACACCAACTTTCCCTTCCATAGCACTCTCTGCTCATCAGGTTTGATATCAGTTCCAGTAGATACATAGAACTCATAGACAATACTCACAATTATGAGGTTTATTAGGAAAATGAACAGGGTGCAATTCAGCATCAGAAACAACTCAGGATGTAGAAGTTCTCTAGTCTCTTCTCTGCCATACTGCAAGCATGCACCAGTCTTGTCTTCAGTCTCTCAGTCATGTGGTCCCTTGGATTCTGCCCTGCCTGTGCAAGTGTTACAAAGCACCTTTAGCTAGTCTGTAAATGCCCAAAGGGCACATTCTACAAGCCAGTCTCCTGTTGTTAGGTACTTAGCTTTACTTTGTCCATTGGCTAGGAAGCCTGAAGCTGATCTTTCTCTCCATGCCACCCTAATTTTTCAGGTAGGGATCTCATGTGCCACTCATAGCTGTGTTCCTGTTTCTGAGATGGCTCCTTTATAATCTAGTAAATGGCAAAACTAGCCAATCTTGGTGTTACAGTACTGTGCATCCTGTTGGCATAGACCCACCTAATCATTTCTTGGAATTTAAGAAGATTTTGGATAGAAAAGCCATATTAATTGCATTAATGGTACCACACTTGTGGAGCAGCTGATGGGTTTGAATTACTAACCTTTCAGTTAGCAGCTCAGTGCTTAACTCATGCCACCATCAGAAATCACTCAAAACCTAGTCTATAGAATTAGATAAAGGCAATACAAGCACTTCAGTCCCTATGCCTCCTTCAAATAACAGAACACTTCCAAAACTACCTTAGTTCAATTTATGTTTGTTTTATATATTGATATTTTAAGGTTTTATGGAAAGAGGAATTATATACTTTTAGTTGTTAAAGTAAGTTAAATCAGAATGAAAAATTCTGATACACACTCTGAAAAATTATCTAATTTTGTTGAGAAAATAAAGTTCAGTATGAAAAATGTGTAGACTTACTTATTATAACCAGATTCTTCAGTGTTGATTATTTTCTGAGATTGGACTAGGTTCAGAGTATATGACGCATGATTAAATCAAACATGATAGAGTGGATAGATATGCCAGGGAGACGGAAGTAAAATAGGGGTGGGGGATGGGGCCCTGCAGTAACATTGAAATAAATGATGTTTGCCCATTATGATAAGTGCTTTTAAAAAAAATGTTTGCTGACATTGAAAAGATAAACGAGGTAAAAAGTCAAGGGTAAGAGAGGAATAGTCTAGATAAAAATAACAGTTTGAATGGAGAACATTAGAAGCAATGGAATTTGGAAGAGAAAATCAGTGTGGCTGGGACACAAAGTCCAGTAAGGTGTCTAGAGGGGCAGGCAGATTGAAGACCAGATATGTTTGGGAAGGACTGGCCCTCATACTACTAATAATAGGAAATGTTCTTGGGATATAAGCAATTAAGCAATGTGGTGTTAATGTTTCAATGATCACTCTGGATTCTCTCTGGAGAATGGATTAGAGTAAAGCAACAGTGGCTATAGAGAGATACAGGGAGATCAAGTCAAAAGCTACTGCATTATTTTAGGTCATGTGAAATGATGATAGATTTTTAAGTTGGTTAATCCAAAAATTACATTTAGTATAACCTGGTGTCTTAGTAGGATGGGAGACAAACAAGAGAAGATGATGAAGGTGACTCTGGTGTGCTAGAGGATGACTTTGATACTTTTATTAAAATGGGAAATGCTGCTGGAAGGTTTGAGGTGCCTTTGGGATATTTTAAGATGGAAAGAAGAATAGAGAATTGCATAGTTTTATGTTTCAGAAAGGAAAACTAAGTTAGAGATAGAATGTTGGGATACATGGACCTAAATACGATCCTTAATATCTAAAGATTTTTATCTAAAGAATTGAAGAGGTCCAAGAGCTGAACAGAAAATTTCAAAGATCAGCTCAAGAAGATAAA